AACTTCACGGCGTATACTGCCACCCGAAGTCCCCGTAGTTGGGGACTGGCGACTCCCAGCAGCTTCTACTGAAGCCTTCCGAGTAAATCGCCAGAAGCGCCGACACCTCCTCATCACTCCACCGCTCCAATGTTTTCTTTTTTGTGTTGCCATAAGTTAGTCTCTCGCCGTTGGTGCGCTGGGCTAATGCTAATAATGCTAATGCGAGCAAATACAATGGTGGCTTCACAAAACTTTTCAGAGTTTTACGCAAGCCCCCAGGAAGTGCGCCGGACTCTGATGAAAATATTAATTGTGTCCAAACGGCGGTACTACAATTTCCATATCAGTCCGTGACGTCACTGGGCCCAGAAAGACTTTTCCCCATTGACTAACATTGGGAAAGAGACGTCTGTAAATAAGCGGATACTTTTTTAAAAACTAAATAAACTACCCAGTATGAACTATTTTATAGCCCTTATTAGAATCATTCGGTCCTTAAAGTTGTAAAATGCACTAAAAGCCGAATCTAGATGTATTTTCTGTCTCCATTCATTCTACTGAGTCGAGAGTGGGAGCTCGGGGGGCGGGGTTTAAGGGGAGCGCATGCTCTGTGAGCGCACATACGGGTTCTTCTGCTCTGACAGCTAGGCATGATGGGTAATCTGTGACATTTCGCTCTCTCAAAAGTTGGGCCATTTTGTCCTCATGCGCCATTATTCTTTTGTGTTGCCATAAGTTAGTCTCTCTCTGTTGATGCGCTGGGCTAATGCTAATATATGCTAATACGAGCAAATAAAATGGCGGCTTCACAAAAACTTCAGAGTTTTACGGGGCGTGGTTTGCAATTCGCCCAGCCAATCAGAAATTGGAACCACCAGGAAAGTCCTTGCTCTCTAGCTCTGTAGCTCTCTAGCAGGGACTAAAAAGGGGTGAAAAAGGTAAGAAAAAAAAAAAGTTCTAGTTCCAGATCTTTTTGGTGTGAACGCAAAATCCCAGGAACTATCGGAACTATTCCTGGGAAAAGTACTCGGGTGTGAAAGCGCCTATTGAGCAGCTCTCATAGGAAAGAACGAGACCCCGCCTCCGACGCTGTATCCAGTTCTTATTATACATCCATGGTTTTACGGGGCGTGGTTTGCAATTCGCCCAGCCAATCAGAAATTTGAACCCTTTTCTCCCCAGGAAAGTCCCTGCTCTCTAGCAGGGACTAACAAGGGGTTAGGTTTGCAAAAAAGGTTCTAGTTCCAGATCTTTTTGGTGTGAACACAAAATCCCAGGAACTATATTGTGTGTGTGTATATATATATATATTTTTTATTCCTGGTTACCGCTGTACTTTTACACTCACTGATCACAGGAGAGCTGTAAATAATTCACTGCAACTACAAAAACAAACACACACTCCTCCTTACGGATATTACAGATGAGATAATGAAAGGTTTTGTGAGGAGCAGGTGGCAAGAGACCTGATATTAAAGTCTTCCCACAAGGTGTGTGTGTGTGTGTGTGTGTGTGTGTGTGTGTGTGTGTGTGTGTGTGTGTGTGTGTGTGTGTGTGTGTGTGTGTGTGTGTGTGTGTGTGTGTGTGTGTGTGTGTGTGTGTGTGTGTGTGTGTGTGTGTGTGTGTGTGTGTGTGTGTGTCTGGAAAAGACTAATAAAGAACAATCTATGGGATTAAAACACCCATCAAGGCCATGTGGCTATGCAAGTGTAACACACACGCAGCTCCATATACAGTATATATCACCCTCTGACTCTGGGAGGTCAAGGCCACAGCTGCCGTGTCTCAGGGGTTAAAGGTCACTGGGCTCAGGACATTATTCCTTTCTTCCTTCTTCCCCCTCTTGTGACTCTGTTTCTTTTTCCTAGAAAGAGTGAAAGTGATGCCTGACTGAATGAAAAAGCCAGGGACCAAAGTGAATATACTGTAGATTGGTAATCTGCACAATTCTGCAGATAAAATGAGAACCAAACCTACACAGTTTTCTAAGTAATTAACATTCATCAATATTTTGAATTTACGATTTGTTTTTGTAAGAAAAGAAACTACGGAAACTTTTGAATTCTGACATGTTTGGGCATAATTATTTGTTATTGTGTACCGTTTTATAATTAACCTCTGCACAAAATGTCATGGCAATCTATCAACTAATTGTTGACCTATTTCAGTCTGGATTAAACTGGTAGACTGTCTTGAACTTATCGTGATTTGAAAAATAGATTCTTTTAAAATGTTCATGGCAATCAATTAAATGACTTAAATGTATCAATTACTCACAGCGTGGTACCTTTTTAAATTGCTATATAATAACATACGACTGGATTTTTTTGTTGTAAAGAAAGATGTGTGGACCAGTAAACATCAGCCATGTTTGTTTTCTCTGTGTGCGGATGTTATGCAGTTCTTACAGGATTACAGGATGTCATTGTTATGATTGTGTTGTAGCGGACTCTAAGGACATAATTCACCATTGTCTGTGGTAGTAAGGCAAGGCAAGGCAAGGCAAGGCAAGTTTATTTATATAGCACCTTTCAACACAAGGCAATTCAAAGTGCTTTACAAAAATGGAAGACATTTTAAAAATGGCATTTAAAATCAGTCATTAAAAAGAAAAGATAATAAAATAAACATTAAAAGAAAAAATACATGGATAAAAGTTAAAAGTTACAGTGCAGTTTAAGATGTGAATAGTTCAATTAAAAGCAGCGGCAAAAAGAAAAGTCTTCAGCCTGGATTTAAAAGTAGTAAGAGTTGCAGCGGACCTGCAGGTTTGTGGGAGTTTGTTCCAGATATTCGGAGCATAATAACTGAATGCTGCTTCTCCATGTTTAGTTCTGACTCTGGGGACAGAAAGCTGACCAGTCCCTGAAGACCTGAGAGTTCTGGATGGTTCATAATTTAGCAGTAGGTCAGACATGTATTTTGGGCCTAAACCATTCAAAGTTTTATAAACCAGCAACAATATTTGAAATCTATTCTTTGACACACAGGAAGCCAGTGTAAAGACTTCAGAACAGGAGTGATGTGATCCACTTTCTTAGTGTTAGTGAGGACTCGAGCAGCGGCGTTCTGAATTAGCTGCAGCTTTCTAATAGATTTTTTAGTGAGACCTGTGAAGACACCATTACAGTAGTCCAGTCTACTGAAGATAAAAGCATGGACAAGTTTTTCCAAATCCTGCTGTGACATTAGTCCTTTAATCCTAGATATGTTCTTTAGGTGATAGTAGGCTGATTTAGTAACTGTTTTAATGTGACTGTTGAAACTCAGGTCAGAGTCCATGACTACACCTAGATTTCTGGCTTTATCTGTTGTTTTGAACATTGCAGACTGAAGCTCAGCGCTAACTTTTATACGTTCTGCCTTGGCTCCAAAAACCATTACCATTAGTAATCAACTTAAGTGCCTTTTCTTTGATGTTTTACTTTTGCACTTATACAATAACAGTTGGACAGTGTCAGTGTGTTACTCTGGAAAATTACAGGGTTGAGAGTAGTTGTATTTATTGGTTTTGAGATTTTAGCTGTTAAGCCCCAAGCCTGTTTTTCAGGTCTCAGGCTAGAAAATGACATTTCCAGAACAAATGACCATAACTACACTTCTAAAAGGGGAAAATTAATAATCTTTTTTCTCAAAGTAATGATAAACCTGTGAGTTGGATGTAGAAAAGTCAGAATCAATATAGATGTTTTTTATTTTAAAGAAAATTCAGATTGAACATAGTAAAAAACTGTAAATTATAGTGTCTGTCCAAAAATTCTTTTTTACTTATAGTGAAAACTACCCTTGGATGATGGGTTAGTAGACTAAAAGCTTTAGCAATCCAAAGTACAACATATAATAAGTACCCTGTATCAAGATTGATGCAAAACAATCTGACCTTTTTAGAGAGGTTTAGCAAAAGAAACCCACTTCTGGGGTCATTTGGGTGGATTTGACGTATCTCTAGAGCCAATGGAATCGAGGAAAAGTTCCACATACACACACAGGTTACCAAATAAGGAGTGAGAGTGACGCGTAGCCAAAACCGGATCTGCGACACACTCCCATTAGCAGCTCATTTCTAACCTCCGATTTTTGCATAGAAATTGAATTATGGTTTATCAATCATTTTTTCAAAGTGACAGACACATTGGATTAACCTATGGATTAACCTTCAGCCGCGTTTTTTCTCGTTTTAATGCCATTGAACACGACTTTTGATCAGAATAACAGCTAAGGTGAGCATATCTCCGTGTTTTGCTACCTAAAGCTACGTCGTGTGTTGTCTGTATTTGCTTCCCCTGTCACGAGTTCTGATCGCTCAGTGATGATCCTTATATTTCTATAATCTGTGGAATCTCAAGATGTTAGCTAAACTTGTTTGTGCAGATCCAATAAGTATATTGATCGGTATAGCTAGAGTTCTGTGCTAACGGCGTTAAGATTGTTTCGCCCAGGGCTAATTCAGAGGCTCAGCGTTAGCCTTGTGTTTTTTTTTGCAAAAAAAAAAATCATCAGTTAGCTGAGTTTCTTCCCGTTACATGGATATGAAACATTCATAGTTTATTAATTCTTAAGAAGCCCTCAGACACTGTTGCTTGCAGATGTTGTGGTTTCGGACCCGCCGAAGGGTCCGTGGGGCTTAAGAGGTTTAAGGGGCCCTCTTATGCTCATTTTCAGGTTCATATTTGTATTTTGTGTCTCTTCTGTGAAATGTTTATATGCATTAATGTTCAAAAAGCTCTTTATTTTTCATACTGCCTGTGCTGCAGCACCTCTTTTCACCCTCTGTCTGAAACCAGAACCACACTCAGGGAGTGTGGGAGTGTGGGAGAGAAACTCCCTCTGAAGGGAACTTTGGGATTTTATCCTTTGCAGACCATTTACATGCACAAAAACCTATAACACAAAGCAGGGAAGGTAAAACACCAAAAAGTACAATAAATAAATAGGACCGCTTTAATGAATGACTCACCCCCACATCAAAGATAGTTGTTGACTTTTACAATATATTAATCTAGTTTTTTCCTTCACAGGATGCCTACCATTCCCACCGTCCCAAAGAGAAACTCCGCCTGGACAGCAACAACAACGAGAACTCGGTCCCTAAAGACTTTGACACCATCGACAGCAACAGCAACCTGGGAGCCCGACGGCAGCGGTTTCCACTCGCTAACTCCAAGCGCAAGCTGGACAAGGCCCAAGCACAGAGCATGCTGGGAAAACCTGCAAACGAGGTCCTCAAGTTCCCTCCGGTGCAACCCAGAGGGGTGGAGCCCCATAACAATCGCACCCACGTCCGTGAACCCCACCCCCAGGTTCCAACGGTCCCAATACCGGTGCAGGGGTCCGATCAGTTTCACACGGCGAAGAGGTCCTCTACGCTGCCATCGCCCGGCGTGGTGGTGAAGAAGGAGCAGCCGCAGTGCGAGATCAGCGGGAAGGAAGCCATTTCTGCTCTGTCCCGGGCCAAGAGCCGCGAGTGTCGGCAGCAGATAGTGGAGATCTACTGCAAACACAAAAACAAAGCCCTGATGCCGGAGAGAGTGCCTCGCTACTGCCCCATAGAAGGTGAGATCTGCACTCATTTATACTAGAGATGAAATATCAGCAGATGAAACATTTTATTTCAAAGGTTTAAAGAGTTTATTGCCATATGGATAATCGCTACTGCTCAGTTGTTGGCAATGAAATTCAGAATACTTTATTTAACCCAGTCGGAAATTGTGTTTCGGAACAGTTGCTCCATTTTAAAATAAAATAAGACAAAATGGAAAAGAAAATAATAAAAATATATATTTGAACATCAGAAATAAGAGTTACAATTGTACAACTATATAAAACAATACATACGTTAACAAAAATATGTATATGCTTGCAGGTGGTTTAATGTATTTTGGTGTCTAAATGGACATTTGTGCTGTAAATGGTTACATGAATAGGGCTTAAGGCTTGTGAAGATGTATCTCAAATACACTCAACAAAATATAATCTAAGGCAAATGATATGACTGGTATAGATGATTTTAATGTATGACCCACCCCCAGTTTCAAATATGTATTACATTTTTTCCCTCGAAACCCCCTTTGAGGTCTTGCCCCCAGGTTGAGGACCACTGTTCTACATGTAATCTTTTCTTTGGAGGATCTTAAAAATGGAAGATGTCCATTAGGTTAAAAAAAGTGTAGTCAGGCTTAAAATAAATGGTGGCCATTTATTTTTCTGGTGAAGTGAATCTGAAAAAGGACTGATGTAGCATATTTCATGAGACTATATTTACAATATGGGTGTAATCCAAAATATGACATAGTTGGCTTAAATGTATTAACCTATGATTTAAGGACAGATTTATCCCTTTAGTTATGACAGCGGCTGATTGAGCCAGTTAACAAATGACAGACTGAAAGATGTAAGGACAAGGAATCAGATGAACAGGCGGCTGCTTTGAAGTGGCAAAGAGAGATTTATATTTTTTAAATGTACCCTTTGAGAAGCATTTTTAACCCAGCACGTGCCATGAAGACGCTTCCAGTCCGCTGCCAGTTCTATTTTCAGGGAGCTGAAGCGCGGACGGACACAGAGGATGAGACTCAGCCTAAGTAATTACACCCCAATCAAGCAAGCACTTTGCCGTCTTATTTTTGGATTCACTGACTAATGATTTACTTGTAGTCGTGCTCTCTGAACCACCCTGGGCCGTTTGGGGTTAAATTGATGTGAGTATAGGTTGCTTTGATGATAGGCTAGTCATTATATCCACAGACTGGAGCGGCTTTGGTGTTTCTGTGTGCATCCAGTGGTGGGAGAACTACTCCGATCCTTTACTTAAGTAAGAGTAGAAAACTGGTATTAAAATTAGGGCTTAGCAATATGAAAAAGAATCCTTTATATGTTTGACGACATTGCAGTCTTATTCATTGATGATTACACAAAATATTTACACAATGACAATTTTGTTAAATAATCATCAGTAATGTGGTGAATTCGGAAAGATCACTCTACGAGTAGATATAGGGCTTTAAAACCATCCAAATATCTCTATATCAATAACATATTTATATTTTGAACAGCTATAGAAGTGCAGTATTATCAGTAAAATGGGCTTTAAGTATCAAAAGAAGAAGTACTCATTATACACAAGGGCTCTTTTCAATTGTTATAGTTTTATAGAATATTATATTATTCTGTTTTTGTCCACCAAATAGATGTATTTGGTCAAAGATATTGTGGCATTTGATATACTCCATATCACCCAGCCCTATTGGGAGTACACTACTACCACATATCCTATACGAATATTATGTGATTTAATGTTTAAAACATTTTAAATGACTGTATTAAAGGAAAATAATTTCTCCCAACATTTTTATTTCAAGGTATAATCAGAACACTTTATTTTTCTCTGGGAGGAAATTGGATTCCTTTTTGTAATAAAATAAAACCATTTAGTTAAAGTAAAATGTGTGTAAAAACCAGATAATGCTTTAAAAACAGTGTACAAAACGTTGCGAGCATTGCACAGTTGAATATTTGCACGTTTTACCGCCTAAGCATAGTAAATATTGCACAAAAGGAGCATAGAAGTAAAGTACACGTATGACAAAGTCCAGTACTCGAATAAATGTATTTAGTTACATTCCAGCACTGCGTGCATCCCTCTGCACGCTCCCCCTGTCTACACCAGATTACAGTTATTCATCCTGAAACTCCCAGCATGCCCCACAGCGCGGGTAAGGTCACTAATTAGGCGGAGCAGGCCTCAACCCGCGCCATCTTTAGGGTGAGCGTGATGATGGAGAAGCATGAGGCTGTCAGAGGCTTTGTATACACAGGAGGCAGATTTAGCTCAGACAGCCACAGACTGAACAGCATTTCCACGAAAGAATAAAAGATTAAGAACAAGAGCGGCGTGACGTTTCCTTGCAACCTGCACTTAAACAATGCAGCAATTAGTCTGTCTTGATGTTCTCTTTTTAGATTTTTTACTAAATATGTTTGTAGAAAATTGCTGATTTGGTGTTTTTTGTTTAGATAAATATATCCCAAACTACAGTTGCACCACAGTATGGGATTAACAATGTTGGATAAACCTCATTATTTGACAAATGTGTTAAAATTGTATTTATGTAGCAAATTTCCTAGTCAGGCGCTGACTCAATGTGCTTCACAATAGATACAAAAAATATGATTAAATAGTTAAAGATGACAAAAACGTATAAGATGAGAAGAAATGAAATTATAAATAATAATAATAGTCAAATAATAACTATAAAATTGAAATACAAAAATATATATTTAAATAAAACCGGTATACAATCATGTCAAAAAAATCCATGCATTATTTATTTCCTATTGTATCGAAACGAAAAACAGCCAATCCCAAGAGGAGCTGGAAACAACACAATTAAAACAAATTAGATTTTTTAAATTAATTCCCTAGACAGCAGACCCCGTTGGAAAATGTGTTCATTACCCGAGTGCTGATATGAACTGTTTTGGCAACAGGACATGAATGCAACATTTAATGTCAACTGCTCTGTAAAAGATGCTGCCTGTGTAATGAGCTGCTCCCCTCTGTCCAGGCAAGGCCAATGTGAACGTACAGTGGGACGAGGACCCCTCGGGGTCCGCCCAGCTGGTCCCGGCCCGGATGGCCTTCGTCCTGGTGGTCCACGGCCGGTCCTCACGTCAGTTCCAGCGTCTCTTCAAAGCCATCTACCACACCTCGCACTACTACTACATCCATGTGGACCAGGTGAGAACGCCCACTGTCACAGAGCGGGGCAGGGAGGACGTATTTTCAAAGGCCGACCCGGAAAAGACATGCACAAAAATATCCACATTAACAGCGCCTTTAACATTTATGAGGTGCAAATGCAATCTCCAGAATTAAAAAGCTAACGTAAGGCTATAGGGACTACATCACACTCGCATGACTTACTGGTCACCACTGCTAAGCTAGTTGGCTAATGTCTGGCGTGATGCAGTTTTTAAGACAAAATAACAAACACAATGATCAAGTGGGGTATTAAGTGATGTATTTCATGTTGTAGAACAAATCATTAAAATCTCTTAAGCTTGTGCTAATCACAGACCTTATTTCAGGCTTCTAACTAATACATCCAATAGACCACGATACTTCTCGGGAATGCTAACACATTTCTGGACTCACCCTTTTAAATCATTCAAATACTTTTTTTTACGCAGGATTACAAAAAGAAAGCATGAGTTTTTTGAGCTGCAAGCATTTTGACAAACCCGAATGAAATGCACCGAGATGAACGGTTTATCAGAGAGAAAAACTCATCATTGGATATCTTTCTAATAATATAAGCCTCACCCCCTCCAGGTCAGAAAATGTCTTCCGTCTGATACACTACAGCCACACTATCTGTTTGAGCTGTTATGTGCTACATTTCAAAACCACTAGTCCTATGTTAACATTTCAGAGAAACAAGCTCAGCTAATGTTAGCTCACAGCCAATCTGCCCTATGTTTTTCAGGGAAACACTGATTTGTAATTTAAACCTGCTTAGTTCAGTGTTTAATCACAAGCTCTGTTAGTTTTGGAGAGGAGTAGAGCCTATAACCTTCCTTGTTGTAATGTCCACCTTCCCAGAGGTCCAACTATCTCTACAAAGAGGTCCTGTCTCTGGCCGGACAGTATCCTAACGTCCGGGTGACTCCCTGGCGGATGTCCACCATCTGGGGCGGGGCCAGCCTGCTGACTATGTACCTGCGCAGCATGGAGGACCTTCTCAAAATGTCCGACTGGTCCTGGGACTTCTTCATCAACCTCAGCGCCGCAGACTACCCCATCAGGTGGGATATAGGGAAGCAGAAAGACAATTACACTTTTGAAGTTAACCTGAATTGCTAAATTCATGGCAAAAGTCCAGGTCAAATGTTCATTTGCATTTTATTTTCATTTGGTAATTGTTTTAAAGAACTGAATTAAAGGACCAGTCATTGCCATATTTCAAGCTAAGAGCCCAAATTACCCTCATAGGGTTTCTATTTGTGCTTAAAGGGTAGCTTTAGATTGTTTGAAGATACTTTAACAGTAAATGCAATCTAGAGGAACAGACAAAAAGCTAAGCAATGTACTTCTTTGGACGTGTTTAATACATAAATATCAGTTGAAGTGTACGCTATATTTAGAATGTTTTCACCGCTTTACCTTGCTGTCTGCCCTTTCTGAAGGGGAACTGAAGTTCTCATATACTCTCCTCTATTGCTGCACAATATGTATTTATTTTGTATGATAAAAACTTAGGGAAAGACACCAATATAGCTCTTAATCTAGAGTTAATTTAAAATACAAAATGTGTAGAAAACCACATCATAATGTTACTATAATTTTGGTCCCTTTTGTGTTCGAATCAATTGGAAATTATTTCCTTTTAATGATTAAATTCATGAAAAAATACCTTTTAAGGTCACATTAAAAAACCTGATAAGGGAAGTTTTTGGGCCTGGTTAGCTAGAAATATGGCAACTTGTCTTTAAATTCCTTCACAATGTTTATTTTAACATAATGAAATGTGAACGATGACCATATAAGCACCTCATGAAACCCGACTTCAAACTATCTTGACTGTCTCTTTTAAACCAAGAGATGCTCTCTAGACTCTTGATCCATAGAGGTTTGGTGGATTTCCCCCCCGTACCGTTCCCTGTGTTGTATCCCTGCAGAAGAATGTGGGGGATTTATCGATCACGTCAAGTCCCATCCAAACACGCAGAGCATTGATTTGTTAAAGCCGTGGTTGGTTTGTTTAAGGTCTTATGGATCAGGTTACACGGCCAATAGCCCTCAAGTGCATCGACTCTGAATGGATGTGGAGTCTAGCTTTGAAGCAGAGCCCCTTTAATGGCTGCCCTGCTGCTCTGGGATCTGAAGGGGTCTGAAGGGGTGTGTGTTGTTGGAGGAGAGCTTTGCTGGCATCAGTGCAGGTATTGAGCTCGCTGAAGCTGGAGCAGTGAAGTAAGGAAGTCCCATAAAGACATTTGTGGGACTTGTGTTAGTCTGCGGAGATGTCGTGATTTGTTCTAGAATTCTGTAGTTTAATGCAAAAATCAGTCCCAGTAAGCAGCATTGGTTCGATTTTGGGAAATGATTCAGTCCATTGGCCCCTTTTTATTCAGTTTGTGCCCATTTTGGTGCGTTATTCCTTCATTACTAATCTGATAAAGGTCCAGGAAACGGGGAAATAAAATAAAATAATGAATCATATCTTAACACCTTTATTTTTCAATTAATAGCTGCAACTGTTAGTCATTTGACAATTGATAATAACAACAATAATATTAATATCAGAATATATATATCGTTAAAGTTAAATAAATAAAGATAAATACATAATGCATTTCAGGCTATTAATAAAATAAAGATAAAGATACAAATACATATTATAATATTAATAGATACAGATAAATAATAGATATTAAAAATGTATATATATATAAACATTTTCAAGTACAGCTCAAAACAATGAATCAATTGACAAAAATGTGTTTTGCAAAAACAACTAAAATAATATTGCTATTAAAACATGATAAGAAATGTTCCACAACAGCTGAAACATTAGTCAACTGAAAAATAATGATTGGCAATTATTTTAATAAGGAATTCGAAAAGCCCAGTATTTTCAAATGAGTAACACTAAAATGTCTTTGAAGCCTAATCAAAATGTTAAGTTTTTCATATTTTGTTCTTGAGAGGGCTCCTCTTGTTATTCCCTGTCCTCCCATCAGAGCTACTGTTTGAACACCCTTCCAGCTAAAATCCATAGCCCACACACAGCATTAGGACACACCATCAATAGCTGTGACGTCATTGAAGCCCATGGAAAGTGAGTCAATGGAAGTGTGTGTGTCTGTATTTCTGTAGCCACAGTATGTCGCACAATCCTTTTTCAAATATGAAAGAGAATAATAAACTTCACATGATCAGATAATGTGACAAATAACCGATCACATTGATTTTAACAATGTGCATAGTATTAGCTTATGTTTCTTATTGATAACCTAAAAGACTGTCCACACGTAGAGAAAGAAACATAATGAAATTGAAATAAAGAGTAAACAAAGAGTATACTGCTCCTCCACTACAACTCAGATGTAAATATTGTACTTTTTACCCCACTTAATTTATCTTTTAGCTTTAGTTACTTTTCTGATTACAATGTTCTCCTTCCTGTCCAGTGACACCATGTATCTCCAGATCATTCCTGTAATAAACTGAAGGATGAAGTGTTCCTTTTATGCATTGAGAAGATACTCCTCCTACCTTACAGTAGATCAATAAAGTCTTAAAAAAACCTGATGCATCAGCTAGAAAATGCATCGTCACAAATTAACAGTTTTTCTGATAAATTCATGAAACGTTGACTTTTCAGAGATGCATGGTTCTCACAGGACAGCGGCAAAGCTACAAACATGTGATGATCTTATAGACTATGAGTTTAATCTAGCCAACAGATATAAAGTACTTAAAAACATCCACGGCGGTAAAACACAACACAATGCAGCAGTAATGTCGATCCAGAAACATCATATACAATATAAAACCTATAAAACCCTGACAGGAAATGTTTTACTGCCAAATCCATACTGAGCGGGTTTTTTCTGATGCATAGTGTTTTTGAGTAAGCGATTGGCTGCAGGACTTTTACTTGTAGTGCAGTATTTTCACAGTTAGGTATTAGTACTTTTACTTAAGTGCGAATGGTGAATACACTTGTTTTTAGCATAATGGCTTATTTCACAATCATATATATATATATTAAATTACTGGATTTTGATTATTGATTTTTTAATACATCTTTGACTGGTAAAGATAGAGCTAGTTTGAATTACTTTGTATACTGCTGCTGGATGTCTTATGTCAATGTTTATTAGTTCATCAATATATGTTATTAGGTAATAATCAGTATCTGTAAAGGAACTAAAGCTGGCAAATAAATATACTTGAAATACAATATTGGCTGTCAAAATAGAGTAGAAGTACAAAGTAGCATAACATTATTATAATTGAATTTATTATAATGACTAAAGTAAGTACAAATACCTCAAAATTGTACTTAAGTACAGTACTTGAGTAAAATGTACTTCATTACATTCCACCACTGGATATATGAGCATGCGTTGCAGCAGCCTCAGTTAGATTTAAATGTGTGTGTGATACCGATGAACACAAACATGCCCACAAACACACACATGCCTGCGGAGCGTTTTAACGACTGTAATCAAAGTTAGCCGAGTTGTGTGTGTGTGTGTCTGCATCAGGCCACACACTGTAGCTCCGCACAGTTTGAAGAGGAAACTAAATAAAAGGCCCAGCTGTCCCAAACACAGTGACTCTGATTCCCCTGAATGGAAGATTGTTTAAAAGAAAGAGACGTATCGTTCAAATATTTAATGGCATCCTGCTTACATGTGTATTCATTACGAGGAAAATCCCCCTTAAAACACAGTTTTCTGCACAGCGTGTATCGCGTGAGTCTGTTTTGCTTCTCCAAACACACAGAATGATGCGATAAGATGTTTTTCACGGTATGAAAGGTTGAAAAGCAAAAAATGTTTCAAACATTTTAATTCATTAAGTTAAATAAGAAGTTTTTTTGGGCTAAAAAATAATCTGCACCTCAACCACCTACAAGGGTAAAACCCAGCTTTTAGTTGAATGTATTAATAATGAAAGGGTGTTATACAGTATAATTCAGAAGCCTGGGACATTATTATACTTTTACATACAACATTTAAATCATTATATTTGCATACTTTTATTAAGGAATTTCTTTGATGCATAACTTTGACTTTTTAGTGGGTTTTATTGGTATTAGTAGTTTTAACTAAAGAAAATGATCTGAATACTTCCTCTCTCATTGGTATATGAGTATGTGGTATCTGATGGTGCTAGGTGGAAATTCACCATCAACATTCATGTCTAAGGCACCATTTTTATATATCCAATAGTTGTCATATCATCACATTTCTCTAAAGAAACGTTTTGAGTTGATGATTGACAGCCGATGTCTCCCCTCAGGACCAACGAGCTGCTGGTGGCGTTCCTGTCCAAGTATCGCAACATGAACTTCATCAAATCTCACGGCAGAGACAACGCACGGTGAGAAAAAGAGAGTTCAATCTTCATCACAGTTCCTTGTTTTTTGTAAAAAGATAATAATTACTCTTCACTTCCGCTTCTTCTTTCTGTTCTTCCTCTTAGCATCAGCATGAGTTTCAAGAAAACAATGACAGTTTTAATTTAGATGTTACTATTAACAAACCTTATAGATATCATATGTTTATCATAAGAGTTTTACATTATATTATTAAGATAAAATGGCCGCTTACACAGGTTAAGTTTCTTAAAGCAGTATACATGTAGCTAACTGCATCTGTCTGTATGTCTGTTTGAGTCATCATCTAAACTCTGGACACTCCTCTCAGATTCATTCGTAAGCAGGGTCTGGACCGTCTGTTCCTCGAGTGTGACACGCACATGTGGCGTCTCGGGGACCGTAAGATCCCAGAGGGCATTGCGGTGGACGGAGGCTCTGATTGGTTCCTGCTGAACCGGCCCTTCGTGGACTACGTGGTGAACTCCAGAGACGAGCTGGTCAGCAGCATGAAGAGCTTCTACACCTACACACTGCTGCCTGCTGAGGTAACACACACACACACACACACACACACACACACACACACACACACACACACACACACACACACACACACAGTCACACACACAGACACACACACACAGACACACACACACACACACACAAACAGACACACACACACACACAGACACACTAACGTGAAATCTTTTAGGTACTTAACTTGATACTTTGCTCGAGTATTTCCATTTGTATGCTACTTTATAATTGTACTTGTAATTAATTATTACTTTAGTTAGTTAAATTCATAAATTGTGATGTATTATTCATATTATTTTAACCATCAATTAATCTGACAATATGTTTTTGATTTTTGCGGTCTTGTCTGACATAAAAAAAACAGTTTGAAGTCTTGTGATGGACATTTTCTATTACTTCAACTTTGAACAAACGTCACATTTATTGAATCTTTTGAAACATTCATCGGATCAAAAATATCCTTATTCTCTTTATTTGTCACAGACAAAATATGCATATCAGAATTTGGCAGAAATTAGATTTTAAGATGCAATCATATAAAATATGTTATTTTTTAAAACAGATATCTGGCGCATCAAAATCATAATGCATCAATCAAAGAAAGTACATTAGATGAATCGCTTTTACTGAAGAGAATAAACGTGCGTGTCTTTCTGTCCCTGCAGTCGTTTTTCCACACGGTTCTGGAGAACAGCGCCCACTGTGAGACGATGGTGGACAACAACCTGAGGCTCACCAACTGGAACCGCAAGCTGGGATGTAAATGTCAGTACAAACACATCGTGGACTGGTGCGGCTGCTCGCCCAACGACTTCAAGACCTCCGACCTGCCGCGCTTCCAGGTGAGACTTTAAACTAAATTAAGCTCATTTTGATATAAACTTTTAACATAGAATAGATGTAGTTTATATGTTCTAATATCTGGAAATGGTTTTGATGTTAATGAGGCAGTCAATAAAAAAAATAAACATACAAAACCTTAAGTTAGAACACATTATTATAGCCTATCTAATACTAGAGAAATATTAACAAAGAAAACTATTTATATAAGTAGTTGCCTTTTTTCACATTTAAATGTATATGCAATGAGGTAGAGTGTGAGTTCAATATGTGTTAACTATTAAGGGTTATTTTAAGGGAAAAATACAGTGGATTCTGGTTTTCAGAAAGGAAAACTACGAAGTTGGAAGTTCTCTGATAGCCAGAGGTGAGGTAAATATAATATGAAAAAAAACAACAAGATTACTTCAAATATATATATAATTAAAGATTCAAGCAGTTTTTTATCCTTTTGTTAAATGGACTGCATTTATATTGATTTCCAGTCTTTGCAGCCCCTCAAAGTGCCTTACAACAAATCAGCATTCACACACATTCATATTGAACAGAGGCAGAGGCTGCCATACAAGGTGCCACCTGCTCAGGGAGACTAATGGCGCATTTCCACTACACGGTCGGCCTCGGCCACACTCGGTACGGCTCGGTACGGTTTGGCCGCGTTGGGCCTTAACAGGGCCGACTCACTTCATGCTGCGCTTCCATTACAGTTTAGGAACTGGGGTAGTTACTATAGTAACGCAGTGTAGGCGGAGCCGTGACGTCATCTTCAATGAGAAATCCAGAAACACAACACAGCCGTTAGCTGTGAGCACTCAGAGCTCACAGCTCCTTATATATGTTCAGAAACTCGACAAAAGTTAAACAAGTACAAACCACAGACTGCCTGTGTCATGGTGAATACAGTCGCTGCTTTATTTATGTCTGTATAGGCCGTTGTTGTGAGTGTGGACGGTCGGGGCATATACTGCGTTAGCTTAGCCAATCTCCATCTAGAAAAACACGAATTTTAAAAGGTTTTTCGCCTGCCGTCTGTCTGCAGACTTGACAAAGCATTAATTCATGGTTTTTACTAACCGGTATCAGTATGTTGTTACTTCGGCATCATTTTGAAACGTGTATTACAATTAAATCACGGTCAAATATGTCCATCTTGTTGTAGTTCTAGCCCTCTTGCCAGCGCTCCTCTCTCTAGTTTAGCATACTCAGCCCGACTCAGCCCTGTTTGTTGGCCCCGATAGAACCACAATTTTCTAGGGCCAGAAAAGAGGGGAAAAAGTGGCCCCGCGCCGTGCCGCGCCGGAACGAGGCCTAGTGGAAGCACAACCAAAAAAGGGGACGGCACGACACGGCACGCTTAAAGCGAGCTACGCGCTGCAATGGAAATGCGCCATAACACTCACACACTGTTGGCCATGGGAGCAATGTGGGGTTTTTTCATTTGCTAAAAGACATGTTGACCCCAGCGGCCAGGAATCAAACCACCAACCCAACGATGAGTAGTTCACTCTACCTCCTGTGGCTCAAGGGCGGGCTAGGTTTTTAGGTTTGATCATTTAAAAAAACTAGCTAGCTCTCAATGGCTCTTCCAATGCTAGTGTTTAATTTGATCTTTTTTACCAAGATATCAAAATGTGACAGATGTTGTTTGAACTTCTTGTTAATCTCAAAGCTTTCCCTGGTGTTCATTCTTTGGATTTAGTTGTTTTAATTGTGATAATGTTGCAGCCTTGCTACAGAGATGATAGTCTTTATGCCCGCCCTCCCTTCTCAGGGCCTCTGTGGCCCAGAATAGCTCCGTATTCACAAATGAGCAGTGGCCTCGGAGCGGCGGCCCTCGGCTCGCTGTAACCACAGACCTGAGCAGCCTCTGTGGTCGGGCTTCGGATGGTTTCTATGAGAGGAGCTGGTCCTGGAAACAGCTGGACTCTTGGTATTTTTAGAGCTCTGTAGCGAGATGCCGCTGAGGTTTTTAAAGTTATCATTATTATAATGTGCGGGTTCGCTTGCTAGAAAGGCTGAGTCCTGAATGTGAGGGTCAGGAACACACATGTACAGTACTATACACACTTTTTCTCCATCATTTAACCAAATCAATGTGTTTTAGGTTACTTCCTGGAAGGAGTTTCCTCAAATTTGGCACAAATGTCCACTAAGACTCTATGATGAAATTATACACATTTTGTGGTTAAAAGATCAAACCATTCATGCACTAATTATGACAATATCACACAATTAGGGCTGTCAGTCGATTAAAATATTTAATCGCGATTAATCGCATGATTGTCCATAGTTAATCGCGATTAATCGCAAATTAATCGCACATTTTTTATCTGTTCTAAATGTACCTTAGAGGGATATTTTTCAAGTTTTTAATACTCTTATCAACATATGAGTGGACAACTATGCTTTATATGTTTGTTTATTATCATTTGAACAATGACAAATATTCTCATGAATATTAAACACAACAACCTCTGAACATTACAAATATTCGCCTCAATTCAACCTGGAACCTCTCTCATACAATACTGTGTGTGTGTGTGTGTGTGTGTGTGTGTGTGTGTGTGTGTGTGTGTGTGTGTGTGTGTGTGTGTGTGTGTGTGTGTGTGTGTGTGTGTGTGTGTGTGTGTGTGTGTGTGTGTGTGTGTGTGTGTGTGTGTGTGTGTGTGTGTGTGTGTGTGTGTGTGTGTGTGTGTGTGTGTGTGTGTGTGTGTGTGTGTGTGAATGAATGAATGAATGTGGAGGATCGTTGGAGCTATGTGCAGCTCAAGGCATATATGCCTGTGTGTATGAGCTGTGTTGCGGCACTATCCGTGCTGAGTGTGCTGTCTGGCTACCTGCATAAAGTCAAGTGCTCGGCGCAGTTGTCGGCGAAATGTCGCTCCTCTGTTTTCATTGAAACAGCTCCTTATATTCGTTAGCTCAGCTAGCTAGCACCAGATGCTAACAACAACACGTGATTGATTGATTGATTGAAAAGTTTATTAACAGCTTGTATATTGGGTACAGTACAGTACAGCTCAAAACATACAATTGTTAAGGGGATGCAGACCAGAGAAAGACTTTCGTCTTGTTTACATCAGGGTCCCCCATTTCCAATTCATCATATCATTTAAGACATATAAGACATATTTGACATACAGATGGCTTATTTACAATTTACATACAGGTGGTTTTTTACATACAGATGGCTTATTTACAATTTTCATTTTAGATTTCGTTCTAATACATCCTAACCGGACATTTAAGACATACCAAGTCTACAGATATACAGTTAGTAACAGTAACACGTAAGGTGTGCTTCGCTCGCGCCACACATACACACTCCCTCCCGGTCCTCCCGATGGCCAGTCCGGGCCTGCCGGTGAGCGTGGAAGTGTGGTCTGCCACAAGCGGGCAGCAGGAGCGGGGCTGTCAGCATCAGCTTGTAGATGGTATTTTAAACTCGATGCGCTCTGAAACTACGGCGGCCGAGGACAAAAAATACACATGCGTTAATCGCGTTAAAATAATTAGTGGCGTTAATTTTTTTTTGCGTTAACGCGTTATTAATATATTGTTTTTAAACAACATTTTGTTTTCAGCCTCTCAAATAAGGAGACTTACGGCTCTTATGTTCTATATCATATTTTAGTGAATATTTTTGAGGTTTGGACCAACAAATTAAGACATTAAAAAGTAAACAATCAAGAAAATAATACGCAGATTAATAGATAATGAAAGAGGTTCCATCTCATGTTGTCGTGAATTTGTTTGTTTTGGATCGTTTAAGTTATATTTGTAAATCCATGTTGAACATTTTTTTGATAAAACTGCTGTAAAAGGTAAAATCCAAAGGCATGTTCACAAGTGTGAAACCTGTGTACTCTGTACTAAATAAAGCTGCTCCTACAGGCGAGCAGCTGCTTGAGTCATATTTGGCTGACCTCGTTCACATAGAGAAAAGGCACTTTTATATAGTTTCCCTCTGATGTTCTGATGAAGGAAAACAAAAAGCCTTTAACTAGTGGTTTCCTCTGTTGTCTTTAGCTGTGTAAGGACACAGATTGTTAGGTAACGGCCCCAGAATAACCTCGGAGATAAATATAAATCTGCCGCTCGCTGCAGTCCGCATGGCTCTCATTATGTTGGGGTTTCCTGGCCCGCCGCTGCTGCCGGGGCCACCAGGAGCCGGCTGGGTGAGGTCATGACAGCATGAAGCCCGCCCTGCCTCCTCGAGAAACAGCCACATGATGAATTGTGTGTGTGTTTGTGCCTCGCTTCCAGTCTGGCCCCTACACCCTCCCTGAGGCCCTCTTTTCTAAGGTGTAGGGTATAAATACAGCCGCTTCTGGATTAACTTCATTATATCCTTATCAGCAAATCTAATGAGAAATAAATAATTAATCAAATAAATAATTTCACTTTTTCTACCTTTTTCTTATGGCAACATAAAACAATTTTCATAGAACAATGTATCCATGATGAATAATCAGTCAATCAATCAATCTTTATTTCAGACTCAAGGTCCATATCACATAAATCAGTCAGAATTGCAAGATGAGAAAATGCCAAGTATACTGTATTTATATGTGTAATGTTTTGTATTATATTAATGCATTATTATAATGTTATACTGCATTACATATTTTGTTTTTATATAGTTGTTTTATATTGTATTTATTGTATTACAATGTGCACATTTTTACCATAACTTCTCTTTGTTATCAATATTTTCAGTATTGATTTTATTTCATAAAAAATAAAAAAATAAATTATGAATATATATATTTTAAAGTTGGTCTTACTCCAACCATCCTTCATTTTTGTTTGTATGTTTTGACTACAGCAAGCGTCGAGACCCACCTTCTTCGCGAGGAAGTTTGAGGCCAGCGTGAGCCAGGAGATCATCAACCAGCTGGACTCCTACCTATTTGGATCTCACCCCTCGGGGACCCCGGGGCTCCAGGCCTACTGGGAAAACATCTATGAGCATGAGACGGACGGCCCCGCCAGCCTATCAGACTCCACGCTCAGCCACTACCACGCCTTCGCTCGTATGGGACTGTCCCGCGCCGCCAGCTCGCTGCAGGGACACCCCAATGACAACAGCTGCAGGTAAAAACATCCACATGTGGGTTTATTGAGAATGGGATGTGTTGTGGAAGTCAACCAGGAAAAACTAAACCTACTTTTATTTGTGTTGTGAGAGAAATGTGTATGTACAGTACCAGTCAAAGTTTGGACATACCTTCTCATTCGAAGGTTTTTATTTAATTGTAGATTAATACCGAATACATCTAAACTATGAAAGACTACCTCATGAAGCTGACTGAGAGAAGCCAAGAGTGTGCAAAGCTGTCATCAAGGCAAAAGGGGGCTCCTTTGAATAATCTAAAATCTAAAACATATTCTGGATTTTTTAACACTTTTTTGTTTACTACATAATTCCATATGTGTCTTTTCATAGTTTTGATGTCTTCAGTATTAATCTACAATGTATAAACACATTTAAATAAATAAAAACCTTCGAATGAGAAGGTGTGTCCAAACTTTTGACTGGTACTGTATTAGCCATATTATATAAAGTTCTCCCAATACAATAATCAGTGGTGGACAAAGTACTTGGATATTTACTTTGGTAAAAGTAATCACACCACAGTGTAAATACTTTGTTATAAGTAAAATGTAAGTATGTCAAGGTTTTACTTAATATTATAGTTGTGGAATTAGAAAAGACACAAACACTCGAGATTCAGTGAATGCAGCATCTGTTGGGAAAAAACATGATTTCCTTTAAAGGTCCCCTGAAACAGAACCTTGAGTTAAAATGTAGATTGGAAACATTATGTTTTCATGCTGAACCCGTTTGGTTGAATTCAAACCAACACTCCTGTTGTTTTGGATTGTTTAGGTTGGTCCAACAAACTGTGATGTAACAAAACACCTCGAACGAAACAGCCTGAAAAGTGGGTTTTTGGTCCAAGTCCCAAAAAGACAAACACCTTGATTCAGTAATCTAACTCTGTATTTTAGCACAGATGTTACTGCTGTTAAATCCATGTCTTGATTGTCATCGGGCAAACATTTCACAAACGATATGATAAACTACTTTCTCTATTCTTCCCATTTGCCACTTTTATGACATGACATTTGGCCGGGTTGCTGAATTGTATCATGTTTGTGATAAATAAATCCTTACGGTTCAGTGAATGCAGCATTACTTGCTTGTCAGTTACCAGAAGTTTGATTTCCCATGTGCTCCCCTGAGACAGATAAGACTGTTTGGTTAAAATAGTCTTGGGTGTCGCCTGTTTGATTTGGATTGTTTGGTTTGGTTTAACATTCTGTCCGTCAAACATTGGTGGGAACCAAACATCGAGACCAAAACTGCCTGAAAAGTGTCTCTTTGGTCCCGTCCCCAGTGATTAATGGTGTGTGCGGTGTGTGTATTTGGTGGTTACCAATATAAAACTAAGCTATCTAATCAGTGTTGGCCAGCTGTCTTTTAAGCTTCATGTTAAGAGCTCTTAGTTGTGTAATTAGTCAGTGCAACAGGAAAAGCAAATCTGCTAACGTGGCAAAAAGGCAACAATGGATCACTTTTGACTTGGTTTTATTCATTGATGTGAACTAAAGGCAAAACAACCTCAAGTCAAATTTTACGATGTAATGGCTTTATTGTCGTGTAGCGCTGTTTTTAGCGATAAAAACAGGCAATAAAACTCCCAGGCCCCTTCAACAATGAAAGATACAATACTTGGGACATACAAATACAAATAAATACAATGCAATGAAGTCCTCTGCCACCATAAGTGTATCAGGATTATTCAGTCGCTGGCTCAGTACATTTAGGCAGAGAGAGAAACTGCAGAATCTCTGTCTGATGGGATCGAGGAGGACGGGCAGATGAAATGTGTCTTTCCACTAGACTCACTAAACCGGTGTGTGTGAGTCCAAATTAAATATAAAGATAACCCCAGCTTGTCCTGGGATACAACCAGGCTACAGTGTCTGCAGACTGGATTTTTCCAGCAGAGTGTGTGTGTGTGTGTGTGGAGGGGTGGAGACCCACAGTAGGTACAAGGAGGTAGTTGTTGTTGGAGTTTGGGTGGGGATGGGTGGGGGCAGCATTATGGGAAGTGTGTGTGAAGGGGGGACAAGGGTGCAGGAGTAAAACAGGACTTGTCTGTTCCCCCAACTTGTGAGTTCAGTCTGAGAACACGAACACACTAATGTGTGGATATATTTAAACATGCTTCCATCCATATCCAAAACGGAGCTCTACTAGGAACCCACTGCTAAGCTGTTGGAATTTAACAAGCAGTCTGTTCATGCTTTTGCTCCATTCTGACTCATCTCATGTTTCTGTACAGCTGATCACATGCTACAGGTGGGTTAAATTTTCCATGATGGGTTTGTATCCAGTTTAAAACGGCTAACTAAGGTCCAGGTGTTTACTGGGCTCTGAATTCAAGAGTTCTTTTGAACCTGTGTTTTACACTGATTAAGTCTTCTGAACAGAGAGACATGACAAGAATACAACTCATAGTTTCTCAAAGGACAATAACATTTTTTGTGGCCCCTGAACATGATATAAAATGCATACATTATATTTTAACAATCTGTTGTCTATTTCATATTCAGTTTTGTGTGTGCACTCTCCTTAGTCATCAACATTTTGAAAACCCCTGGTAAAGGATGTCATAAAAATATGCCATATTAGGCTATGGTATGTCATTAAAAAAAGTCATAAAATATAATGTAAAAAAGTCCTAGTAAAATGTGTCACAGTAAGAGTATAAAGTATAACATGCCATAAAAAATGTCATTATAGTGTCGTAAAAGGAAAAAGAATCCATTAAAACTAAAGAAAATTGAGAATGTCATACAAATTATAGTATAGTATATCATAAAATAGAACAAAATATTAAATAAAATAATGATAGTTTAGTGTGTCACTAAAAGTAAAAAAATATTGTTTGTCTTTAAAAAGTCAAAGATAGAAAATTAACTTTGCAAAGATGTTTTTAAATGTGTCTGCTTCATTGCAGCATGTTCTCAGTACAGTGTGTTTTCCTCTCTCAGGTTCATGTCCACGAGCCACCCCGTATCCGTCCACCTCTACTTCCTGTCAGACAAGTTCCAGGGCTACCTGCTACGCCACGTGGCCACCAACCGAGCCTCCGCCCAGCTGGAGAGCCTGGAGACCTGGGTAACCTCCAAAGACCACTACACCCCCGCCAGCCCCCCCCAACCCAACAACAGGCTGCAGCACGTCCAGGTCAGCACACACACAGTACATTGTTATGACCAGTAGGTGATATTATGTATGTAGGAGTTCTGAGAAAATAGAAAGTTGTTTATTAACACAGCCAGAAAACTAGCTCGTTGACATTCTCAGGGACCTAAACACTTCCATGACCCTCTCCCTGTTCTCCAGGTAGGGGCGGACTGGGACCCTAAGGAGCGTATCTTCAGGAACTGGGGGGGTCTGCTGGGCCCCAGGGACGAGCCGGTTGCCGTGCAGCGCTGGAGCCGCAGCCAGAGCAACCTGACGGCCACCGTGGTGTGGATCGACCCCACCAACGTCATCGCCGCCACCTACGACATCCTGGTGGACGCCTCCGCCGAGGTCACGCACTACCGGCCGCCCCTCAGCCCCCCGCTGAGGCCCGGCCTGTGGACCCTCAGGGTGCTGCACCACTGGAACCTGCTGGGCCAGACCAGCTTCATCATGGCCCCGCTCGAGTTCCACCGGCAGCAGCCCATACAGCAAGGTGAGGGGGGGGAGACACCCTAAATGCATCTACACATTAAATCATGACATCTAGCTGATGCTTTAATACTAACTCAATTAAAAGTGATCAACCATGAAGATACAAACTTAGAACGGCAAGAAACATACATTAGCCTTAAAAAAAAGCCAAACCATGTCAAGTACTATAATATTTTTAGATAGATTTGAATAGCTAAGGTGCAGACAAAACAGGTCTACAGTGGAAGATGTGTAGACTTTCAGCAGCCCTGATCAGCCGTCTTTAACCTCAGGGTAACAATAGCCCCGCACAAAAATAATCTACTTCTTATTATTATTTACCGAAGACTGACTGTTACAAATGTAAAGATGTCGGCCAGCTGTGATTGGTTGCTCCTCGTCACATGGCAAGTGGTGCGGGGCTACTGCGTTCAAAAAGTGAATCTGGGCACAGCCGTTACTGCCTGAAAAACATGAATTTGGAGGTGCAGCACCACTCCTACTCTCCCTGTGATATTTCCCAGTTAACTCTTAAGTGTTTTTTGCAGTTGTTCCTTTTGTGCTGCAAGGGTCTAAGGGCAGAGTTTGTTGTATGCTGTGCAATCTGTAAAGCCCCCTGAAACAAATTTGTAATTTCTGATATTAGGCTGTGTAAATCATGTAGGACAGTTAGGATCAAATATACTGTAAAAAATGAAAGGCAGACCGACTTTATTTGCAGGACTTCAATTATTGAATACATATTTAATTGTTAATTAGCTCTTTTGTCAACATGCCTTAAACATGTTGCAATAACCTTTTGGTAAAATAACATTGAGGTAGATTTAAGAGGATAGGAGCTAATAAATGTCATAAATGTTTCGATTTCTTTCAGCATTATTTCTGATTATTCATGTACTGTCTTGCTATGGTTTAGGTTGTTGAATATATTTTCAAGTAAATATTTGTATTGGTGCATCCCTAATTACAGTATATACCACTGTATAGCACATTTTCAGACGTTAAAAAAGTCCTTATTACATGGTCCAGTAACTTGTATTGTCTATAAGCATCGTTTTGTGGATTGACCTATTACTACTATTCTGCTAGTCAGTAAAATATCACTAATTTGGCACAATGCTTGGCTATAATCCTGCAGAACCCCCTTGAAAACACCTGTTGAACGTATATTTAAGAGCGGCACAGGGGTCACTGTAGTCTTTATGTCAAAAGCTAATACTTAAATTACACACACAGAGCAGAGGCCCTTCCTGTCACAGCTGTCAACACCACACACACACACATATTTATAGTGTCAGTATCCAGTCACGCACACACGGTCACCTCTGTCCCAAATTAGCTTCCCGCTGAACCTCCTCGTGTGTGTGTGTGTGTGTATGTGTGTTTGGAGATAACTAAGCAAAGCCTGGGACATGAATAGATGGTGATGTTTTATTGGCTGCTGTCATAAAGTGAAGATGGAGTGCGACGTGATCTGATCAGAGTGTGTGTGTGATATCAGGTGCCTGTGTGTTAAAACATGTTCACTTCTGGACTGTTTTTTTTTACTTCCTTAACATAATGACATCACTATGTAACACTCGCGCTTCTATTGGCTTCTGCTCCAATACATTGTACGTCATAGGCTAAAGGGTGGGACATCTTTAAGTGGTTGACCAATCTCAACAGACCCTACCACCTAACCAATCAGAGCAGACTGGGCTCTGGTTTCAGACAGAGGGGGAATTTTGAACTTTGGGATTTTAGCCTTTGCTGAACATTAACATGCACAAAACATATATACAACACACAAAAGGAAAGGGAAAACCCCAAAAAGCATAATAGGGCCTCTTTGAAGCATGTAAACACGTCACAGTAGAGGCACAAAATACCAAAATGAACCTGAAAATGTGTATAATAGGGCCCCTTTAAAGAAAATAATCAATAATGTAATTTACCATTTTTTTGTGGTCAATCAATCTAATTTCAATGTCAACATTTTGTATATAGCCCAATATCACATAATACAAAATGGTCTCCCTCTGTCCTTCGACACTCGCATTAGACTCCCATAGAAACCCTACAATTGATGGCGAAAAACTGTTACAAACCTCTGGTATAGCAACATAACAACATTACCAAACAAATGAAAGTGATAATGTGAACATATGATAATGTAGGATCCAGCAGGATGTCAAAAAGCTTGTGCATCATTAAAAGGTTTTTCTAGTGCAGAGTGTGCCCACCTTTTTCACCACTCTTCTCTCCTCTCCTCGCCTCTCCTTTCCCCTCTCCCCTCTCCCCTCTCCTCCCCCCTCTCCTCCGGGGGTCCAGAGGACACCCTGCGGCTGCACAGCGGCCCGCCCAAGAACTCCTACATGGAGCAGAGCTTCCACGGCCTGAACCCCGTGCTGCGGCTGCCGGTGAGTCTGGGGGCAGTGGAGGAGGCGGAGGCCAACGCCGGCCTGACGGGGGCGCCGCTGCGTCGCTGGCTGGACCGCCTGCTGGAGGGCCACTGGTCGGCCGCGGACGTCTGCTCCATGGGCCCCAGCGTGTGTCCCATCATGCAGCGCTGCAAGCTCACCCCCTGGAGCTCCGCCAGCCCCGACCCAAAGTCTGAGCTCAGCCCCCCCAGAGAGGACGGGAGGATCAGGTAGCAGACGTACGGACTGAGGGAGGACACAAGGAACACATGAAGGAAGACACACGTCCTGTCTGATATTTATTTATTTAAAAGTGTGTGCAACGTTACAGTGAAATGGATTAATGAAACTCTGGAGGCAGCGACGGGTAGAAGAGAGGAAGCATCTCCTTCAGTCCTCAGTCAGTCTGCTGCTCTCATTGTTGCTTGGGACATCATGCTGTGTGCGAGTGTGTGGGTGTGAATAAGTGTGTGTGGACGCGGTGTGTCAGAAGAACTCTATACCTCCTGATGTGAGCGTTTCCCTGGGGGAAGGTAGGCAGGTGTTACATGTTCAGATGCTGAAATATAAAACAGTTGGTCCTTGTAGACCAATTCATACTTTCTGTGTCCATGAAGGTCCCGAGCCCCCTGGAAGAGCGCCTGGCTTTGAGCTCATTTTTATCTTGGCCAAGCGGTGGAATTATAACTTTCCTGTCTCAAGATGACGTACAGCACACCTCTAGCTGGAAGAAACAGGAACAAATGAGCAAGCAATAGAAATATGTCATATTTATTTTGTATTATTTATTTGGTGCCAAAATGACCATTTAATTCAAAAGTGTTCAAAACAAAGAACTGTCTGAATCCTTCAGTCAGCCTATTTTATTGGACTTTACACACGTTTTAAATCTGCTCCATACTCACTGTAGAAACGGATGTCACTTTCAAAGCGTGCAACTAATATACGAGTCATTTATTCAGAAGAGGGTTTATAACATTTTTATATATATAAGTCAGTGGCTAATATTTCATATGCTGGAATTTGCTTTGACAAAAACATCTGCTTTGCTTGGGCGGTGTCTAACGGTTACAACATTTTGTATAACTTGGTCTCAATTTTGTTGTTGTTATGTTATAATGAAATGATTGGATGGAAAACATGTAATGATATACCTATCAGCAGTAAACGGAGCACAAGTTAAGCCTTGGAAGGGAATATTGTTCTGTATGTCTGAACACAGAGCATATAAAATAAGTTATGCAGATAAATAAGTTAGATAAATTGATAATTGAATGTGATAAGAAGAGATTTGTTCCACAATTAATATTCCTGTATTCAGAATATCAGATTGTAGTACTCTGGAAAGTTAATGGGCAAAAGCAAATTCTCGAAAGATTTTTGGTTCCTTCCATACTAAAAAAAAGATATACCCATGCATAAAGTATTTCGCTGAGAGTTGAGTTTGAGTGTAGTGCAGGGGAGAGGAGACCACCGACACAGGTTTTGCACCTTTAGAGTTCCATGCTGCTCTGTGATGGACTATGTGCCAAGACGGTAAATATTCATAGGGTTGCACCAGTTAGGATGAAGGTTACACTGTGTGGCTTTTAAGAGCAGTGACGCATAAGAGGCTTATGTAAACAACAACAGCTTTAATAACGGTCTTTTAAAGACTTGGCTAATATTTTCAGTTTTAGTCAGAGACACTGAACATAAACAATACTGTTAGTGAAAACAAATCTGAAAGGTTGGTTATTACTGGATTACATGTCAGTTCAGTTGCATTGGATAGAGTTTGGAATTGTAGCTACATAAGATTTTATTTATTAATCTTCTGTTTTTTTATGGATTACACAAACTACGTTTAAAAGAAATTCAGCTTTAGATGAGCCAGGCTAGCCTTTCCCACTTGCTTTCAGTCTTTATGATAAGATAATCATATTTCTTTGTTAATTTACAGCAAGAAAGGGAATAAATGTTCTCCTGAAAATGTCCAAATATTACTTTTCAACCCCACCCTACATATGTTACTTGAGTTACCAAATAACAACTAACAAAGCCTGATACTCGCTGGTGCAATCCATCTTTTGTTTGATACTATAAAAACTGATATTTACAATTTTTTGATCAATCATTTCAATGTGTGTAGTTGCCATGTGACTATTATTGGGACCAAAACTGGAGAGGAGTGTTTTTGTTTTGTTTTAACCATGAGAGTGAAGCTGAGAATGATTGTTGTTCTGTGACAGTCAGCACTTTACGTATAGCATATAATGGTCACAAAAAGGATTGTGACTATTATATATAAATTATTATTTGAAATGGACGCCTGGTGCAGATGTTACCAGATGTTATGTTTCAGCACAGTGTTGGTGGGTGTAGCCCTGAAAGAGCCATCTTCTGTTAAATATATCAGACATGTACTGCCACTAGATTAAGGGTTCAAATGACAGCAACAGGTACGATCTGGTTATGTTTTAACCTTTGGATTTCTGAATTAGACTGAGGACATTTCCCTTGTTGTGAATCCTTTACTTTTATTATGTAAAAAGCATAATATAAAAAAAATAGGTTCACCTGTAAGGGAGATTATTAGGAAAGATAATATGCGAGAATGAGGGCAAGAGCACCAACAAATAACTTAAATTACTAAATAAAAACAGTATTTTGCTTAACATTCAAGACGGTAGCCTAACTTTGAAATAGTTCTTTATGGTTTTGTGTCAACAAAATACTAAGGTTTGTTCATGAAAAACCCTATTGCTGAATTAAATCTGTATTTATTTCGATTCTGGGACAAAAGCTGTAAAATAAAGCGGGCTCTTATTTTGAAATGTAGCATGAGGGGTATATAGGTCTAAAGGAGATGTTCACCACAAAGACGTGAAAAAACAATCACCAGGTAGAAAACTCATGACTATTTTATTTAGTAAACATGTTTTTAGTTAATCCGACAGTCATTTGGTTTAAATGTCGCATCATTCGATTCACACAAAATCTTCGGTTTTAAATACATTTCTTATGGACAGAGTTTTCAGAATTACTTTTTTGTAAAATGTAAACATTATTTATTAATTAAAGGTGGGGTAGGTAAGTTTGAGAAACCGGCTCGAGATACACTTCTTTTTGTTATATTCCATGGAAGCCGTGGAAGCCGTAGTACTGTAAAAAGCACGACCAATCATTTTAGCCGGCCCGGCTAAAATAACTGGATGGCCTACCTGCCTGTCAGCCTTCCATCTGTGCACAAACTTATCTCGTGCCCTCATTGGTCATGTGCGCGTTCGTGTGTGTTGGAGGAGGGGCTCTATAAGGAAGTGGCTGATTTTTTCCGGCTGTGTATTTTCAAATTCTAGCGATCTTGAGCCGGTTTCTCCAAAATTACCTACCCCACCTTTAACACACACATACAATAATTTTGTCTTTATGCTTCATTTTTGCATAATGTCAGTCTCAGAGAAAGTCCTGAATGTTAAAAAGACATTTTATTTTCTTTGCTGCACAATGTTAATTTGAATATTAAGAGCCATTTTATGTCCGATATGTACTTTTCATATAACGAGTGAGTCGATGTAATTCAGTATTTTGTAAAATACTCTGGCGGTGTACAGTTTCTAAGTTAAGATGATGATGGTGCCACAGAAGTCATGTGACTGTTTATAAGAATTTTTAAATGTTGATAAAGTTTTCAGATTCTGGAATTATTATTTCATAATAACGTTTTTCTCACACTTAAATTCAGTTTGTCTCTTTTATTTCCAGTACAACCCTTTTTGACGCAAGTGCCATTTTTGTCTGATGTGTTTTTCTCTCTCTCTCTCTCTCTCTCTCTCTCTCTCTCTCTCTCTCTCTCTCTCTCTCTCTCTCTCTCTCTCTCTCTCTCTCTCTCTCTCTCTCTCTCAGTGGGAGTAGTGCTGTGCCTTAGATGTTATCATGTTTTAGGAAATGGTCTCTGAAAGCATCAACAACTCTAAATGTCCAAAAGCCAAAAAAAAAGTAGTAAGAATTTCTGTGAATGCCTTATAAATGACCTTAGCGATTTTGAAGTACATTTTTTGAAAATAAAACTGAATCTCCCTTTATTTTGTGCCTGTCGATTTATTTTATTGATGTATAAACAGGTAATTCCGGGGTGGGTCAGAGGGCTTCATGGAGAGAAACCTCAACTGTAATGTAACTACAGTCACATTTACTCTTCCAAAAAGGTACTTACAAAACGTACTGTGTTTTATTTTCAAGCTACCTCATACGATTTTACAAAGTATTAATGCCTATATATACTTTTAATTAAGGAAGTATTTTGGAGGAATTGTATTCATATAATAAAGTATTTTGACATCATTTTACTGCTACTAACAACTCAGTTTTATCTGCATATTTATTAGATAAGGGACAAATCTGTTTAGCAGACCCCAGGTGTCGCCTCCTCTGTGGGTCCCAAACCCCAGGCTGGGAACCACTGCACTAGAACACCAAATGTGGATTTATCCACTTTTAAAGAGACCCTTACTGTGGGGGACACTTCTGAAGCAATTGGAGTCAGGACTCAGAGAGACACGAGGAGAGCTGGAGCTTTGATGGCAAACACTGACGGTTTATTTGGAGCTTCGGCCGGAGAATTCACAAGACATGTCACGGGCCACGGTTTGACCACACGGTTGAGATGCCACAATCAACTCTTCTGTAGCTCGAGGTTTTAACTAGTTCGGAGTGTAATAACCAACATTCTTCATCTTCCTTATAAAACATTTGCCAACACTTCATATCTGCAGTGCAGAGCAGCCAGAGCCGGCGGTGCAGAAGTCATCAATACAGCCGGTCAATAACACTCAGCTAATTATTTTCGGAGGCATCAGAGTTAGCGTCAGACAGCATGTGACTCCGGACACTGGTTAGAAAGAACTTACAAACAGAAGCCCATTGAGGACTAATGACTTAATAGAGTCTGTAGGAAATGGGTCATTCCTTTGACTTTCTGTAAACTCGGCTAAACTTCCTGTACCTCTCTCTGAACTGAACAACACAAAAACACAGATACTCATGTTTTTAATCATTTTGGGCAACAAGCTTTTCACAAGAGAAATGTTATGTATATCATTTTTTTTATAATTAATAAACAAGGCATTATAATCACATTAGTGTTTTAATGTTTAACTCATTAGTTAATAGGTGTACAAGGGTTTGTAGCCAGTTTATCACCAGACACCAACATCCTTTTTTCAGGTTTTACCCATTAAAGGTTTATCAGTATAAATATATATTCTGGAAAAGAAATGGAAAATGTAAAAACATCATACTTTTTATTTGGTTAAAGGTAGGGTAGGTAAGAATGGAGAAACCAGCTCGAGTGCGCTAGAATTCCTTCAGACTTCCTTACAGAGCCCCTCCTCCAACACACACGAACGCGCACATGACCGCTTTCACACCAAGTACTTTGACGTACTTAGTGTTCTATTGTTATAAGTGTTCACTATAACTTATTGAGCTGTTGAATAGGAAAGTATTGGACCAACGCTGTCACGATCTGTCTGTGTTGTGTTTTGTCTAGTCTTTTTCTGTCTCTGGTTTCCTGTTTTATTTTGAAAAGTGTTCACCCCCTGTCTTGTCTGTTGATTCCTGTCTCTGTGTTTGCCCTCCTGTGTCTGATTTCCTGATTGTGTTCACCTGGGCCCTTTCTCATGTCTTCAAATGTTCCTCCTCGACTCCCCTCCTCGACTCCTATCCTCGAGACTTAGTCCCGCCCACAGGAGATGCGAGCGGAGGAGCCGAGGAGGGGAACCGAGGAGAGAGGAGGGGAAGCAGCAGGCGGTTAGAGAAATGAGAACTCCTCTCCTCTGAGCGGTCATTTTAAAGAGACGTCCATTAATGATGACAGGAGGCACATCAGCCCTCTGTCTGATGGACAGATGTGTTCATGACGACTTATATATTTACTTTTAATTCATTCACAGTGCGGTATAATGAGACAATAACAGGCTACAGATGCGGACATACACACAGACACACAGACACACACACACACACACACACACACACACACACATATATGTATATATTTATATAAATATATACAATTTCAGAATCAAACAGAGCACTCTCATAATAACGTAACACTATCAGAGACTGGATATATCCCCCCCCCCTCTCTGGTCGCTACAATGAGGGAAATAAATGACGGGCCAAAAGTTTTATTTACAAGTATTACAAGTAAGCAGAGGACACCAAACCAACTGAGACCTGTCTGTCCGCTGCATCTACGCACACACTGTACCACACACACCTACACCACACACACACACACACCTACAGCTCCTAAAGCATATAATCAGGCTACAGCCGTTGTGTATTTTATTATGTGAAGCACTAAATGTGAAGCACTAAAAATATCGACTTTGTTTGTAGATATCTACTAAACTAAAGCAAATACAGAGAGTAGGCCTGTTATACTGAGTGATATATATTATACACACTGCTCTGCTTTCTGCACGGACCACACAGCTGTTCTCACTGTAAACATCGCGTCGCGATGAAAGCAGTTAATAAAATAATATCCAGGGGATGCATGCAGAGCTGTCATTGGCTGAGATAAGTCCGGCCGTGCGTCTCGACTCTTTGAAACATCACTGTTGCCGGAAATGCATCCACGAAGGAGCCGTGGAGGACTGTGGAGGACCCATCAGTGTATCCTCGGTTATAGCTCCTCCAGAGAGCCTCCTCGACGCTCGATGCTCGGTCCTCGATGTGCATTTCGAGAAATGAGATGTCCTTCAACATGGCGCGCTAAAATTCATTTCCGGGTCACTACCGGAGGACCGAGGAGTCGAGGAGTCGAGGATGGGACATTTGATGACATGAGAAAGGGCCTTAGTGCCCCTGTGTTTTCACCTCCCTCCTCACCTGTGTCTTGTTGTGTGATTAGTCTTGTGTGTATTTAAGTTCTGGTTTTTCTGTCTGTCATTGTTAGATCCTTGTTTGTCGTTGACTGTGTTCACTGGGAAGAGCTTTGTATTTTTCTTGTAGCCTTTTAATAAAGGTGTTTTTCTGTGAAATCTGCATTTGGGTCCTGCCTGCTTCGCTCAACCCTGACAGAAGGATCTAACCAAGAATGGACCCAGCAGACAGCCTGTACGAGGTGACGTACAATTTAACTTGCCTCAAGAATGACTTTCGATATGCCTCCAGTAGTGAAGAGAGGCAGTCAATTATCTCTACGGCACGCCAAGTAACCTCAAGGCCCTGGTTAAGGGAGTTTCTACCCGAGTGGGTGGAGGACTTTTTTGGTTGCTTTGAGGTCAAACCTGTTTCTCGGCCTGCTAGCCCCTGGCATGCTAGCCCCCTGCCTCCCAATTCCCAACCTGACACCATACGTCTCTGTGTTTTCCTTCTGGAGTCAGCCCCTGCTTCTTCCCCATTTCCTGCTCCTGTCCAGGAGCCGTTCTCGGGTACTCGTCTGCCTTTTGGAGGTCCACGGAGCCTCCAAAAGGCTTACAGGCCGACTCCAGCACCTCATCTCCTGTTGGCTCTGGCCGACGCCAACCCCCCGTGTCCTGTCGGCGTACCGACCGTCTCAAGTCCCCTCTCAAGTCCCCTCTCAAGTTCTGTCTCAAGTCCCTTCTCAAGTCCCCTCTCGAGTCTCCTCTCGAGTCCCCTCTCGAGTCTCCTTTCAAGTCACTTCTCGAGTCTCCTCTCGAGTTCCCTCTCGAGTCTCCTCTCGAGTTCCCTCTCAAGTCCCCTTTCAAGTCACCTCTCGAGTCCCCTCTCAAGTCCCTACCCAATGTCCTGGTCCGTTGGAGGTTCCGCTGGGGGTCCTGCCAACTCCATGTCCTGTCCCGTTGGGGGTCCCGCCGACTACTCTTCTACCGGGGGTCCTGCCAACCCTATGTCCTGTGCTGTTGGAGGTTCCGCTGGGGGTCCTGCCAACTCCATGTCCTGTTTCATTGGGAGTCCAGCCGACACCTGCTCAGCCATATTTCCTGCCAACACCAGATCCTGTCCTGTTGGGGGTCCCGCCGACACCTGCTCCGCCGGGTTTCCTGCCAACACCATATCCTGTCCTGTTGGGGGTCCCGCCGACACCATATTCTGTCCTGTTGGGGGTTCCG